GACCATGGACCAGGTGGGCATGAAATGGCCAGGAAAAATTGAGACTGCCAAAATCAGAATAGAAAAGAATGAATGCATGATGGTAGTGAAACCTAAATCAGTGAATAGGGCCGGTTCTGGAGTAGACAGGGGGAATTCATGGACTGTTCTCTTACATGCGTACTAGAAATACTTATACACTTACGTAGCCATATTGAAAGCATGATATAAATAGGTTCGTAGTTCTAGTGTGAAAATTTATTTTCCGTTGTCCTCCAATATAACACTGACTGAGAACTCGTCCAGAAGCGTCATTTGTTAGAAAGAACAATGATCTTCCTTCTTAGTTTGTTTTAATTGTTTTATTTTCTGAAATTAAAAGTGCATAGTGACAATTTAAACATGGTAAGTAGCCGATGTTTGCCGTACCACGAAAAATATTTCATGCACCCGAAGTTGGCTTGTTTCCGTCAATTTTTTCATTGTGGCTCTCGCGTCCTTTTTTTGAAATCTTGTATGCTCCTTTTGTGACTTTTGGTTTTAGTTGTTTCACAAGGTATACAACATAAAGTGCTTCTATCATTTGAGCAATAAAAAACTGAAAACGCTATACGAATGCCAGTTTCTTTTGCGTTTAATAGGTCTTGCTTGAGAAATTAATTTTGCAAGTTCTGTTATGAGGTTGAAAGCAGCGTTACTTAGTTCATGATACACTTTTCCTTAATTACAGAGATATGACGCAGCACTGATCGACGTGAGAGGTCAGTGGCACACATTGAAAATTATTCGACGATCCAAGCGCCTGGAAATCACTGTTGATAATGCCACTTCTAGCCACAGTAAGTCCATTATAGTAAAGTTGATTTCTAAAACTCATGAATGTATTTAATATTTACAATGATTTCAACAGCTAAATTAAGTTTTTTGCATTTGTTAACCAAACTTTTAACTGCCCTTGCGTTAACTCATTACGCCTTTTTCATTTCAGACAAAATATTCAGCGGAAATCATCTTTTTCATGTGTAATAATCTAAAGTTTTGCCCAACAATTTTTGAATTAAACATCTTTAAATAGGAAATGTTAAGTCCAAATTAATCGTTATAGATTAGGACTTTAAAATCATGATTATGAACAATAAATTAATAGCGGCGTCTTTTTAGCATTATTTTACATCTGATTTACTAGAAGGCAAAAGATTTGTCATTGCGCATTTAAACTGGTAATACCGCCTCAACATAGTAAGGAAGTGAATTATCTGGTGCTTTATGTTTTTGTACACGTAAAAGCTGAATGTCCAAGTAGCTTGACGCTTGGCAAAAATCCATGAAAATGTCCTATACAACAAAGTAAAATTAAGGAAAGGAAATTTTATAATAAAATTTACTTGTGTTGAGTTAGCTCATTTTTTAAAGTGAATTTGGCTGACAATGTTTGAAACTTCTGGAATAATTAAAATATTTGTGAACTAAATTTCACTCTCTGCAGTTGTTTTACCTTTAGATTTTGTCAGCTTTTTTAATAAATAATGCTTTGTCATAGCTCTTCTTAGTGTTTGACTAATTCTTTTAGTAACTGGAAAAAAACTGCACAAATGTAACGAATTTACAGATAAAATGAATGCCACGGGAATTAGCCTCTTGCTTAAGCATCATTAGTCTCCATCCAGTGATGCTAGAGGTTGGAATAATATCTGTCTGTTAGTAAGTCAACTTTGGCCCGAAAAGTTCAGGTTTAATTGAAATTAATGCTACCGCTTAGTCAAATATATTCATAATTATTTTTCTTAAAGCAAATTATCCTTCAATTAAGGTTATTTAATGAAGTTAATGGGTAACTTAAGTGAAGGGTCAAACGCCAAGGCAGTTCACTATCACCAACCAATTTTAGTAGTCATGAAATTGGTGGTCTTGCAAGAGTATCTCAGCTGTGTACCAAAGCTTCGACAGTCGGAACGTCCTAAGGAGTCTTCATCAACACATTTAGATTTTAAAATAACCACCATATTGGCGCCTGAATATTTTTAGCCTCCATTCGTATTACGTTACACGAACGTCACCTAAATAAGCCCTTTGACTCTATTGGATCAAGGACTTCCTTTAAATTTTACTGAAAATAAAGCGCATTTAAACATTCTAGGATTGCAAAAAAACAACCTCTGTCCTCATTGTGTGCTACGTTTGCTCCGGTCATTCATTTTGGCAGCCGTTTTCTCCCATATGGTCAAGGAATTACCCTCTGATATGGCCAGATTTGCTTTAAAGTGTATCAACTAATTTAACATTACCGTTCTAATCTCAAAGAGGACCGGAGAGTTTTGTTTTAAATGAAATTATCACTAGTCAATCAAATTCACTTGTATGCAAAAGGACTGACATCAAATTTATGTTAGACAAATTTTTTTACTTCAAATGCTATAAAACTAGCTAGTCTAAGATCTTGTATTAAACCTAGTCCACAGCATGGGTCCTGCCGTCGAATGCCTCAATCTCACAAGGCGCTGAATATCCACTCACCATCACTTCAAAACGCTTTTCTTGCCATTTCGTTGCGCCGACTTATTCCAACATTCAACGTCTATTTAAAGAAATGTTTCGTTCTACCAAAATGCACCCGTTGAAAAGGCTGCAACAAAACTACCGCAAATGTTTGGCTATCCCAAATGATCTACTGGAGCCTACTTATTAAAATTACAAAAATCACAAACATCTCAGGAAGAAATGGTTATTGGTTGCGCTTGTCCACTTAGATATGTTCACACACACCATTCTTGCCTTGAGTCCGCATTCTTTAAACACTTCTCTTTATTTCGCCTTGGCTTTGGCATAAAACTCGCTAAATTCACGCCATCTTTTGCACTAGCGTTAACATTCACTCAGACACCATATTTCGCACAGCTCTTTTAAACCAAGAAAGGGAAGTATTATAAATGCATATTTCTTTTTCAAACTCACTTATTTACGAACACTCATACTGCGAAAGGAAAGGTGGCGTATTCATGTAAGAATTAAACAAAAACTTATGGGAACAAAAGTGTCAGGAAAAGAAAACATTTGAGCTGAGATATTAAAATCAATTTGGTATTCATGATAAATCACACATACGAAAACAGGAGTTAATCCGTAACACTGCGTGAAACTTTCCGGTACTTACTTTAGATCAGGCAGATATTCCCAAAATATGACTCCAAGGTTAGCAATCTAATCAGGCAGATATTAAATGTAATTTTTGACGTTTTCCAGCATTCATTGATTCACGAGGTACATTCAATAAATGCAACCCACAAGGTAAAACCGAAGTAAAATGCATCTTTTACAGCGTGTTAATAAGTTTTAAATAGCTTGTTTTTAAGGTCAGCCTTGATTTTGAAGCTACAATTTTTCCTTGATTACTTTTGGTCGAGTATCTTAAAAAAGTTCAGCAACCAGGTAGTTCTATTTGATAGTTATCGCATAGTAGTCAAGGGACAATAATTTTATACATTCAATTTGCGCATACAACTACACTGGTTTGTTTATGCGTATGCCGCATCATCTTAGATGTTGTGCAGATCTTCAAAATGAGTGGTCCAATTTCAAAAATATTAATCTTTCATTGTGTATATATTTTTAGGGTTTCTCCCATCACAGTACGTAAAGACTCCATTAGCATTAGTCCATGACGTCGTTAATTATGCTCATTTCTAAAATGATTCGCTAAGATGCCTTCTTTAATGATCAGGCATTCGCTAAACTTTTCTAAATAATGATATAACTTGCACATAATGCCAAGTAAAATGGCAATATGATTGTCAATTATAGTAGAGTTTTTGCAGAGCTGTTTGGTGCTCATTTGGCAGGCACATAGAGACGCCCTGCACTAATTGCTGCTCAACTCGCATAAGCAACAGATTTGACATTTACTACGTGGACGGATAAAAAACATTGTCAACACAGGGCGAATTTTGTGGCTGCTTCAAAATTGTTTTACCATGAAATGAGTAACGGAATGGTAGAAAGTAATTATGTTCCCAACTGTATTTTTTGCTTTCCTCCAAGTATTTGAAAGGTTGCATTGCGTTACAGTTTCAAAATGAACAACTTGCAATTTAGTTCAAGTAAGAACTATGCAGCCAAATGTCCACATTTCCTTAGATCTCCTAGTTCGTCGACTTTGTAAGACATGTTGAAATGGTAGCTTGTCCAACAGCGTAAAAGATTATTGCTGTCAATGTTTATTTATTTGTACTTGCGCAATCAAATTAGCAAGTTGAAAAATCGCTATTTGCCGTCTTTTCGAGGCCTTGACGGTTTTTATTCCGCACTATTATGCACCACCGTGAAAAGGCTTTTTGAATACGTGAAAATACAGACGTGATCTTGCTGAGAAAAACAATGCTTTTCTAAGTCTCTTTATCGTTTAACGATTATTGCTTTAGAGAGTAATTGAGTTAAGCAGATTGGTAACATGACCCAAAGGAAGAGATATTAAAGCGATTAGTAATTTTTTTATCTAAAAGGAAAAAAAACAAAGATGTCAAATCCTTTTACGTAATAAGTAGATAGACTCTAGTTCATGTGTCTAAGTTCACCGTTTGTCATACTGAGGTTAATTGAGTTTTACTTTTCGTCTATTATTCCCAAGATTTTGTACCTTGGCACCGGCACACAAAGGTAAAGGAAAAAGGCTTAAATTATTTGGCTCTTGCGGTCTGCACCTGCAAAGTATATTTATCACATGGACATTTTTGGTTTTCTTTTCGAATAATATTCAGATCATAGTTTGAGCAAACTAAATTTGATGTAAATGATTATTTCAACCTAAGGCTTCTGTTTGATTTCATTGCCTAGTTCTATTCAACTAAGCCAGTTATATCTGTTGTTGTTCAACCGTTTGATTTAGACCTGCAGGATGGTGCGAGCATGCTGGATAGTGATTTTGCATGCATTGGGAGCATCACAAGTGATGTTCCGGTGTACGGTAACGGAATACAAAAGACTGCGTTTGTGGGTCGCTTGTCCCAACTTAATCTTAATGGTCTGGATCTGATCAGGATTATTGGTGGAACGGCCGCCTACAGAGCAAAGGAAAGCATCCACAATCCCCATGATTCCCATCTGGTAACCTTACTATCTACCTGGAAGGAAAATTTCGAGGTGACAGCTGTCAGTGCCAACGCTGAACGGATTCGAGCGTTCCCATTACAGTTTCAGGGCGACGGAGGGCTTTTAACGTACTCTCTCAACCAGGAAGCATGTGTCAGCGTGAGCTTCGCCATGAAGACCTCGGCGGTAAGAGCAAATGCGTTTGTTGGTGTTGTTTGTCCCACTGCCATGCCTAAAGTGAAAGTAGATTAATGATTCAATTTTTTGGCTTAACGTTTCAAGTTCGTTAACTAACAGTTTGAGTTAATGTATATTGGTGAAACCTAGTGTTTTGATGGTAAGTCCATAAGTCAGACGTTTTTAACTGTTCAAAGTCATTAAACAAATTGAATTTTACAAACTCTTGTTATGTTTTTTTGGGATTTAATTTTTTAAGTAGTTACATACGTTAAAGCTTAAGTTAAAGATGGGCAATTCCTATTGACTAATTTTAATTTACTTCAGGTACAATGCAGCTTTGTACAGAGAAGACCCTTAAGTCAGGCTAAAATCTTAGAAACGACCTTATTCATTATCTCTTTTCCTGAAATGTGCAATTTGCATAAGGAGGTTGCAATTAATTTAAAAGGAGAACGTTGCACACACACATGGAAACGCTAAAGATTTAATTTTTTTAAATCTGATATTTAGCCTAGCAGGTTTAGTTACTTGTTTCCTTTGAGGACTTATGTAAAAGAACTTACAAAACCGATTTAAGACTGAATTCAATATTTGGAAACGTTTCTCTTTTACCAATGCTTCGATATTATAGAAGCATTGTACTACATTAGGTAATGCGGGATAACTTGGTAAGTTGTAAGTTGCACATTAACTGATTTTTTTAATATGGTGGTGAAACCAGCTTTTTAAGTTGTTCAGTTGGTTGCAATCAGGTGAAAAACCTTTACTTGTAGATTAGGTCAAATCAAACCAAATTTAGTTATAAACGGTCACATTTGTGAATTTAAATCAGACAGTATTTCCGAGATTGAACCACAATAGCACAATCAGGACATTCTCATGCCTAGAAAGTTGCCATATGCTTATAGCTATTTCATTGCTGTGAGAAATTTGAAAAGTTATACTGGTTACCATTGTATTCAAGAGTTTATTAGTTGGTTTTAAGTAAGAATGATATCGTTTCACTTATGCCCCAGGGACATTGGCACAGTTAATGAGGTCACGTTAGAGGTTAGTCCAAAACGTGCAGTGGAATAGAGATTGGACCTAAACACTTGTTAAATTTTAGTTTGCCAGATTATCAAACGGGTGAGGCACAGTAATAAAACATGATTCAAGGCTGCACTTATGTCATTGGTCTACGTAATTTAAATTTTCTTGTTACAGTATAAGACTGGCATAACAAATAAGATTTTATATTCAAGAGGTTTATGGCCAGGTCAAGCAATTCGGTAAACGTTTCTTAGTTAACAGAACAAAAAAATCTGGGTAGGTTTTAGAAGGGGTATGCATGAATTCAGCTTTCGAATTTGGTCAGAACATTTGTATTAACAACATTGCCAATTTCGATAAGTATGAACATTGCATTTTACACAATCAAATACCTTTGGTGACAACAAAAAAGTCATTTTTGATTTTAGATAAATTTGTCAATAGTTATTTAGGTTTAGCTACAATTAAGAGATGCATTTCATGGTAAAATCTAACAATAATGACCGAATCTGTGAATATAAATACCAGTTTACATAGGTGCTAATTTTGACATTATCAGCAAGGGTTACAGTCAGTTTCCCCTTGGTGGTCACATCGCACGAGGACCTTTTTGCAGTTTCAGATACCTGATTGGTTTCAACAATTCCATCACCTAATAATCTACTAGTAACAAGCCAATTTTAGTTTTGTAACAAGAGTTTTGTGAAATCGCTGAATTATGTGGCAGACCTCATTTAGTATAGTAGCTGGATTTTATTATATTTTCATCGGAATATCTTACTGCTGACTACCTCTACTGGATCAGTCAATCTTGCGTAGTAACCACTCTTCGTCTGTTTATATTTACTTGCGTCTTTTTGCAGCACAAATCTTTTCAATCAAAACCTGATAAACGAAAATGGTTCTAAAAAAATTATTTATTTTTGAAAACTGAATGTTAGTCATGTTATTCGGGCTATACACTCCCTGATAAATTCTGAGACATGAACAATTTAGTAAGTTTTGTTCCAAGTCTTCAGTGTAGTGCTTAAGAGTAGATTGCAAATTACGGCTAATGAATAATCTACGTTTCTGGTGGTGTGCCTCGGATTTTAATGCTTCCCAGTTATGGTTTCAACATTTTAGGATAACCTTTCTGCTCATAGTGGAAAATTAGGTCATCCTCTAAACCATTATTTTAAAATTGCTGGCACACTTAATTGAAACAAAATGTAGGACGCTTTTATTTCAAAAAAAGTTCCTAGATGAAAATTTCAATTGCAATGTTTCAGGTATCAGGAATTGTCTTGATTGTGATGGCATCAAAGAATGAATTTGTGGGCTTGGAAATATTTGAAGCAAAACTTTGTGTAATCTACAAATTTGACTCCCTTCATCACCATTCTGTTGTCAGCAAAAGCATTTTGATGAACGACACTCAGTGGCATGAGGTCTTAGTAAGTCCTCTTTCCTTTGCTCAGCTTCTGAAATGTTTAATTCATGAATGTACACTTTTTAATAAAACCTCTGAATATTGTGGCAATAAATGTCGCTAGAATATTTGAATTCAGCAACGTTGTGAGAGTTCGTAAGGCTAAATAAATAAAACCTTGTTTTCGTCTAGACAGAGTTCATTAATTACTTAGATAAAATTGAACAACAGTGCTTATGACAGTTACGCCACTTAATTAAGATTTAAGCAGCAAGAGTGTTGAACCATAAACATTCAAGCAGTCAGAGGACATAATTTCAGAATGCATTCACTGTGTTACAAAAACGGCTCCCTTAAACACCCATTCTATCTGATCACATTAATGTGTCATTTGATGAACTGCAGTTTTCTTCTTTCCATAACATTTCCACAATACTGGAAGTTTCACCCTCTAGACAAAACGAAAAAACATTCTACGTATAAGTATACTGCATCTTCACCAACTTCAGCTTCTCAATATACGTTTTTGTGTTTATGTAGCCTCTCGTTAATGTTTTTTGTAGCTCTACCTATGCATTGACGACATCCCGTCCTTGATGATTGAAGTAGATGGTGTGAAATTTGTGCCAAAGGATCTTGCTGGCAGTTTGACTGTTCCTCGTCATGCGCCTGACAAGTTGTACTTTGGTGGACTGCCTCAAGAGTAGGTTTTGTTTTTTTGCTTTTAAGGCAATCGATGGCATTTATCATGCTTGTTCTAAATAACGTGCTTGTCATTGCTATAATTTGCAAAAGTGCTGATCAAAACCATCAAAAATCAAGCAAATTGTCACATGTTGGCACACCACCATTAATTTGACAGTGTATGAATTCCAAGTTTTAATTTATGGCAAATAATGAGCAAATTTAGGGCGCTTTTATTGTTGGAGGCCAGAATGCCTATTAATAATATAGACTATTTCGTTGTGGTCGCAGAATTACCTTCTCGTCAATTAACTGAATTTCAACGCAATTAGTAATTTCTGCAGCAAGCACTCTATTTTAACTTAGCTTTTGAGCTAGGATAAATCCGCACATTTGCTTATTTGCCAATTTTGGTTGACTCGAACAATTTCATCGCTGACCATTTTGCCATATTTATATCTTTAGTCATCGGTTAGTTTTGTTTTCAGGTGTTCCAACCCACTTTTGTGTTTTTTTTTTATCAAGTCGATTTTGTCTATTTGGCTTCCCAACAAAGGTTGGTAATCAGGAAACATTTTATCTTCAGAGCTCTAGCTGCTGCAAAGACTATTTGAAACATGACGAACTTAAGGTTATCATTAGTTTCTACCATTAATGGGAGGCCAACACACAATGAGCAGACTTCTTTGCAACTCTCTGCTACTTTACACATTATTCTAAAGCGCAACTTTAGTGGACACATTTGAGTAAAAGCATATCTAAGGGATTTTACATAGAATGAATAGCAGTTGTACCTTAATTTCTGTCTTTTAGCATACAGGCTGCAAGCACACGCATCCCCCTTGGATATGGGTGAATAAACGGTTGTGCTGGTTGCAGCCTTTTTCATGGGTGCTGCGAGTGGTAAATTAGAAGGGTTGTAAAAGTTTTTGTTATTGCGCAAAAATTTCTTTCACATATCGGTATCACACTCACGGTCAGACCATAAAATGCGTCCTAATGTAAACGGTTTTTCTTGCAAGTCAGAAATGATTCAGGCGTTATGTCTTGCAACGTACACATAAATGGAAGTGGCGTTAAACACTTACTTTTGCACGGCCGTTATCTTAGAAGCAAAACACCAGAACTACAGTGTAAAAAAGCTTGACTGATCCAAATTTGAACAGTAATAATTATTGCCACTGATATGCGTAAGTTCAAAAATGATAAGGTTTGCAATTAAAAGTGAGACATCAAGTTAATAATCAAATTTATTCCGATATACGTCGCCGGTTACAGATGAAGGTAATTTCGAAACCGCGATGCGTGCGATAGTACATTAACGAATGCATTTAATCCACTATAGGTCTTGGGCGTCAGCTGCTAAGGTAAATATACAAAGCGGGTGTTTCGGTTTAACTTCGGATTTTTCAAAATATCGCGGTAAATATTCTATTTTATAAATGCACTATTATGCCACAACAGTTTATTAACCTTTGGTTGCTTTTAACAAATGCAGAAGGGTTCGACTAAAAATTATTTCGACGTTCTGTATTAGGACCACAAAAATACGTTGAAGGAAAGGTAAATTTGACGCTTTACATTTTAGACATACCAGACGGCTACGGAACTACTTTAGGTCATCTCACGGGTACGATGGATGCTTCGCAGATTTGAATGTAACTCAGAAGTCTATTCAGGAGACTTCCAATAAAGCGGAAAAGAGTAATGTCAGAGTTTTTCAACACCCAGTAAACTCACATCGTATAACTCAAGAAGCAAGAGGAATCAAATTAGGTTGCAAGTTTCCACAAAAACAGGCAATTGATAAAATCTGGAATGTCAACAGTGCCCCAACAATCTGTCAGCCAGGACTGTGTGGATTTGGTGGGCGATGCGTCCAGCAGCTCGATACATATTACTGTGACTGTTCAATGTCCGGATTCAGTGGGCCTGTTTGTACTGACGGTAAGCTACGTACATCATGCAAACTGCGAACTTAAATGCTGGCATGTAGATTAGCAAATACATTATTACCTAGTACCTCTTTGCTAACAACTAGTCCTAAATTTCGAAAAAAATCAGTAGCGTCTGTGGATTTTATTTTTAATTCAACATGCAATGCTTTACTAACTTCTTGAGAGGCTAAAAATGTAAGCAAATATTAGTTGTAACCGAGTAGTTGCATGTCTTTTTTCGAATAATAATATCCATTTAGAGTTAGGTGGTACATTATTAATTCCAGCGTATATTAAAAATCGTCCATGGAAGACACTATTGGAGTAAGTACCTGAATTGTGGAACTCGTTGTTTATTACTTTTAGAAGTTGCATGAGGCGCAAAGTCAAAAAAAACTCCGTTGACTTTGCTCTCTTTGCAACTAGTTGCGTAGAATTAATTTTAAAGCAAAGCCTACGGAAAATAGTTGCGAAGGGTAAACGAGGCGAGTCCTTGTTAGAACCTCCATGATCGGGTGTTCTTTTATCGAGTTTTGGTGAAGCGGTGTCAATTAAGCATTGTGCAGCACTTTTAGCGTTGGTCATTGAATGATGCTAAATACCTATTCAGCTTGGCTCCTGGAATTTCGCCCACTGCAAGTAAAATCAGCTTAAAAAAACTGACTGCTTTTGAAGTCGCACATAGACTTTGCTTTTCTAAGCACTGGAAGGGATTTAGTGAGCCTGATGGTTTGAAGTGGTCATTTAGATTAGCTGAAGCGTATATCTTTCATATTCACTTTTTTTAAGCTGGTGCAATTTATAGTTCTTACTAATTAGTTAATTAACAATCATCTATTGTATACCTGTTCTTCGGTTACCAGTTGATTATTATTCATCGCCGCCATTCGTAGGATACAATTTCCCATTTAAAACTGAAACATGAATGTGAATTTTTCACTGAGTAAGACAATCAGAGTAACATCTGAAACGTATGAGCACTTTCACTGTTTAGTCTAATAACAATAGCTTAAAAAGCTGCAAGTAAGCCGAAGAGTACTCCTGACTCACTCAATATGTACGTATTAATTAAATGGCGGGCCATCTTGCCAAAATTGTAGATTTTGATTTCCCTTTATAAAACTAGATCGTTAAGTCAAAGTGATATTCAAAAATGACATAATTCTCACTCTTAAAAATTGATTGTTAAAATGACAGTGTAGTCCTGCCGCAGTTACGGTAAGGGTTTTTTGTAAATCATAGTTGCTACAGCCATTCGGTATTCTGGCAATGGATGTGCCGTTTTCGAATTCAACCCAATGCGAAACACCTCGAGGGATGCTATTTCTTTTGGACTCCAGACGTTGCGGAAATCCCCTGCTACGCTTCTTCACATCACAAGTCATAGCAATTCCCTGGATTTTCTTCGTCTGGAAATTACGCCATTCAGAGTAGGTTTTCACTTTTCTTATTTTAAAGTTGAATAACTGAACTCTATTAGTACGGAATAAACATTTAAAAATGTGGATATTAAAAATAAATTTAATTAAAGTTACGGAACTACCCAAGAGCAAACAGGAGCATTTCATTGTATTTATAATTTGAATTAAATAGTTGGTCTTATTTAGAAGCATATTGCCCAATATTTAACCGGATGTCAAAAATCAAAGAAATTTTATGACTGACATATTTTAAAGGAGTCATTTTACAGGAAACTGAATCAGTCAGAGATCGACAAAGCCAAATCAAATAAGTTTTTACTGGTAAGGTTTCATTGAGGGTTAACAGCACCGCGTAGTCAATTGCTAAGTAAATTAGGATAGTTTATTCTGAAAACATAAGTCCCTTGTACCATTAGGACCATTTTAAAGTAACTGACTCTACTCTAGTTGTTATTAATTATATAGATAGCAAATTACGTGATTTCGTTTGTACCATTTATTTATACCTGTGGTTTTAAAGATTAACAATGCAGGGTTGACCATCTACTTCGTCTGCTTCAATGTTTGAACCACACCTGAAAAGTTTGATAACCATGGTTATTTAAAAAAAGGTTAAAATAAAGCCTTGTTTTCATCACTAAGTCACCAACTATAAGACACATGGATTCGTTATCTTTGTCAGCCTACGAAAAGTTCTGTAGTTGTTTCTTTATCAATGACAGTGATTTTATTTTAAATACCTGCTCATGTAGCCCGATGCCATGTGGATCAGAACTTCTAATTTCTTACACTCCTGTTAGAATTCACTGTTAAAAGTGTGGATTTCAGAACAAAAATGGACCAAAATGAACGATGAGGGACGACCAAGCATTGGGAAACAGCATTCCAAAAAAGGTCAAACATTTCAGAAACTGCAATTAAATAATGTAAATTAAATAAGGTTTTAATGTTCCGTTAGCATTTATTACTTTAAAAGCCTTTACTCTGACTCCTTATATTCCATGTCCAATAATTTTTGCAATCTTTTAAGTTCTCCTAATTGGACTAATTGCCTGATATTTTAGCAAATCAGCGTTTTCGAAATGTCAAACACCAATTAGTGCCATTCACATAGTAAAATCAAAGCATGCAAATTATTGAGTGGAGTGCATTCTAAAAAGTGCTTAAGTGCTGGTTAGGCTGGTTAAGCTAAACATAAAACGATACACAATAGACAATCTTTATTTAACTGCTACTTTCTAACGTAAACTTTATTTAAATTATTGCAGGAAAGATTAGTTTTGCGATTAACATACAATATGGGAAGTGGAATTCAGACTATACAGGAGCCAAATGTGGATTTGAGCGACGGGATGTTTCACGTGGTTCGTGTCATTCGTGATAATGCACACCTTCAACTTCAAGTGGATTCAGGAAAGGTTATCAACGCAACGACAAAAGGCATGAATTTCCTTGATGCAAAAAGCTGACCTAAGCCTTTTTAAGTTCCTGATAACGTTCGAGAATTCAGGTTTTAGTGATTTGTTTTAGATAATCATTTTAAAACACTTGCAATGTTTTTTGTTCAACTCACGCTATCTTTGTTGATAGTAAATGTAATTAACTTGTAGTGCTTCTTTGTAGGGGTCAGCCTTAAAATAAGAATATTGGATATTCTTCTCTGTTTTGTGGTTTTAACTTTGACCGATCTGTGTTTAAATATCCATGTTAAATTCAAGCTAATCTAATCACGCAATATTTTCTCTGGTGGTTACGCTGTAATAAGCTGGCAACCTGTCAAATAGTTAATTGTGATGAGCATTAAGCTAAATTTGTTTTTTACAAAATTTGTTCTAGATGTTCATGCATATCTGTCAACAAAAAAAGTGTAAAATTAATCATTTCACTTTGTATTTTTATAGATTGATTAAACTAGTTTACAAAAAATGTTGTTTTTGTATTCTGGTCTAATTTAAGACCTGTCACAGAATACCCCACATTTGGATTACATTATTTTTCCGTGAGGAATCTAAAAGTGACCGCATTTGCTTAAAATATTTTTAAAACGATACGGAACGAAACGCTTCATTTCTTATTACTTTTTGATACATCTTTGTAATAAATGTGACTGTTCTTCAACTACATTCCGAATAATGTCCCTGTTGGCCTGTACAAACGTTTAACTGCTAGGTTTCTTTAAAAAAAATGACAGATATACGGCCGTTTACTTTATTTATAATTCAGTTGCAGTTTTTGTACTCCTGCTCCATATCCACTGTCCCGATATTTTTTTGCCTCTACTTTTTTTCTTAAAAAAAGCCATGTATCACACAAAGGCTAAAATGTTTTGCCCTGCTGCAATTTTGTGAATAAGTAAATTTTAATGGGGTCAAATGGTTTATACCATTGTATAACTTGTAAAAGACGCGCTTTGGATTCCTCTAAATTTGGTCTTTACACCCGATAAGTTTAATTAACTGAAATTAATACAGCACGTTTAATAAACTGACTAATTATCTCAATCTTCTTTAGGTTCAAATGGGAGCCATTTTAATGAGATTTATCAGGTGCATGTAGGATGTGATCCAATTAAAGTGCCCACGGTCACAGGGAGGGAGGACACGCAGATGTTTTTTGGTCATATTAATGGTGAGTTTTGTACACTATGAAAATCATTGTATCAGGGTGAATTTTCTTTTACCACTAATTTGTTATTACCAGGGGTCAATTACAATGGCATATTTTTGGCGGATCTGTTGCTTGGAGAAACGATTTCTGGTATTTTCTACAAAAAAGGAAGCGAGATTTTAATTGACCCAACTTTCACACCAAAAATCAGGCAAATTTCAAATTTGTAAGTCAACTTCCTGTTTAGAGTAACTTGTTATTTAAATTGTGAAAGTAATTTGATTTCTTGCGGTATGCATACGTGTATTTCTCTGATCAACTTAAAATCTTAATATTCTAATGACACCATTTATTACACTTTGCACAGTAATTTAACAATCTTATGACTTTGGACTACCATTACAGTTACAACTCATAGCCTAGACTCGTCGTAAGAAAACAGTTGCGTAGTATTTTCGCAAGCCTAAATGAGTTTTCTTCTGTAGATTAACTACCAAAGTTTAATTATTTTTAAAAAAAATTAATTTTCTCTCACACAGATTTTGTTTTGAACACTTTGTCAGTACTTGGACAACTTCCTTCCGATGTAACTCAATTCATGCCAGCTTCATTCTTTTCACCTTTTAGACCAGCAAACGATATGGGAGCAGAGCAGGTAGGCAAATGCGTTTTTAGTCTCATAAATAAGCACCACACGCCTATGCATTTTATCGTGATGCTCAGATTGAGTCACTTAAGAATACTGGATCAACTTCGTAATAATTAATAGCTATTAAATCAGGAATCGTTGACTCACATGATTGCGTAAAGCTGGATAATATCGGGAAAAGAAATAAATTTTTATTTATGAATCTGATTGTTTGAAAGATAATAGAATCAGGCAATGTTTGGTGATGAGGACACATCTCTGGGAATTATGTAAACAACGTCGTTATTAAGAATTTAAATTTTGTTGGAAGATAATTAGTTTTAATTATGCTCAAGAGAATCTGCTACCTTAAGTCATAGCAGACGCTTAATTAGCCAATCGATGAGAATGTCGGAATTATTATCTTTGCTTTTTTTTAAAAAAAAAATACTCTTTTTGGGTCACCCTTGGGTAGAATTACTCAACCTTTGGGTCTCCTGTAATTAGAAACTTTGCACTTTTAGCCGTTTATGAGCTCTTCGAAACCACTTAGCCCCTTAGTGGTCGCAAAACCAAATTGTTTTGAGGCTGATACTGCATTCAGGAGCAAACTGGCCAATTGCAGGCCAATTAACCCACATGGAATTGTTATTCCCACGTGGAGCCTTCCCCCTCTTAAGGAGTCCACGCGTAAAGAAATACAAGACAACATTTGGAATCCAAAAGAGTAAGTGAGAAGACTTTAATTTACTGCAACCCAAAACAATTCCAACAACTTGTATTGGAGTTGTATCAGGTAAATCTCTTTGATGTTGATGTGGCAACATTTAACTCATCTTTATATACTTTGCCCAACAATATTTGCTGCAATAGACTTTAAGGTGAATTGTCACTTAGTTCAAATGTGGAATCCTACAAATTTTGGCTGGAATAATTACCGTAGTGTAGTTTAGTTGGCTAATGTTTTAAGAAAATTTGCACAGCATGAGGACTTGGCATCGATGATAAAGGTGTGTGCCTAGTTTCAGTGATCACTTTCTGTTGACTAAATGTAGACACAATTATAAATGCAATTAAGTCATTATTGCAAATCGGGAATTAAAAGTCACGCATGTAAGCAGTAATACCTCGCAAATATTTTGTAATCTCTATCCATTATTATTAAATAGGAATTGAATATTTCAGTTTCGCAATCGCAAACTTTGTTAAAATGTTGTATTGTCCTTACCTTTTTCTGTAAAACCACGATGCGATAAAAAAATAGACCATTGAATTGAAAAGTATTGATTTTAAAGGCATCTTATAGATTATTCTATGGTGAATGTCTGTGTCTATCCTTTACTATTACACGTATATGCGTGCACACTGAATGTGCATTATTTACAAAAGCAAAATGATTGCGTTTGTCTGAAGCAAGGGTAGAATAGATGGAAGTAAATAAAGACATTAATAATGTTCCACGTTTTTTAATGCTCAGTAACCTTAAAAATACTTCAAATCTAACAAAAAAGGCTGTATTTTTCAGAATTTTTAATGTATATAACGAAAATGCATAGCCATTAAATGGGGGATTAGTTAATTTCTGGCAATTGTAAATAACGGGCTTTGAACTATGCTGACAAGCATTTTGCTACTTGGCATTTACCAAAGTGAAGCAATATATCAGGTTGGAAAAACTTGAATTTACAAAGATTCGGCAGAAAAATTGTAAGTGAAATGCACTAAAATGTCTAGATGATGTTAACTATTTCTTTTGGACGCACAAAAAAGTGCAAAGTAAAAGGCTTTGTATACGGCGGGATAGTGAATCAACGAAAATATAGGAACTGGTTTACTCTGAAACACTTTGGCGATTTCAATATAGATAATTTCTCTGTAAAAATTACTGCTAGTTAACTATTTTTGATTAATAAGCTGCCATACAACTACTAACATTAAAATAGTACATTATGGTATCGTTCTATTATTCGGTACCGTCTAGTTCCTTGTGAGCCTCTGAACTGGACGTTTACGAGCCCATAGGGATGTCGATTCGTACTGATTAATCCGTGTACTCTAACCTTAAACTCTTCTTTATTTTGTTGGGGTTATACATACGTTCTTTCAAAGTCTCTCATTTCCTTGTTTTGTGGCACTTCTTTCATGAATATTCCTTCCATTACAGAGGATCTGTGTAAACGAATGATTCTGAATAAACATGCAAAACGCATTCCTGTTAAAAAGTGATTTTTATGAGAAAACACCTAACGCTGTTGTAGTGATGATAGGAGTTTTGTTTTTACCTTAAAATGGCGCATGAAAAAAACATGTCCTTGCTGGTCACTGAATTGGTCAGATTTGTTTCATCAAACCGCACGACCTAATCTTGAAAAAAAACCTACACTCAGAATGTCCGAATCCAAATAAAGTGTAAGTTTTTAACTAAGTACATCACATTGTCATATTGGCCACTACATTGAAGTTTTCAATTGCTAACTTTTAACAACAATGTGAGACTGGTTTCTTTAACCAAGGGTTGCTTCAGGCCATTTTTCGGAAACCAGAGGCTTGTGTGGCCACGTGAAATTACGCATTCCTATGGATGTATTCAGTTTTACCGTGTTACCCGGTAAAATTGTCACCAGTGAAGTCAACATGCCCTACTTTTTTTATAACTGCAATAACTAGGCACTGTTTTTATTTTAGTTTGTATCTGCATATATGCAGATGCAGTATATCAAATAGCCAGTAGAACAAAGTTAATTTAATAAGTACACGAATGAAATGCTAAAATAAGTCAAACAGTCGAATGAAAGAACGAGTTGACATGCATGGCAAAGAACTGCCGGCCGTTCGTGGGTCATCTAACATCAGGGAACAATACACCATGCGCTTTTCTCTTTAGCGTATGCTACGTCTGTCAAAGAAAGGGGCTTACTCTTGGTCAATAAGATAAATGGTGCGTAGTATGTCGTTGTGGTGTAGGCAAAATACATGGGGTGACCAATAAGGCGGCAGTGGCATATGCGACAGGTGATTGACATAAAGCAGCACGAAGCACTGCAATGCTGAAGACGGTATAAATTTCTTTACGTTATAGGGAACTGGAGGTCATTAATGAGTGCTGTGGAATGTAGTCGCAGGGATTCTTTTAATTGGTTAATTCGAATAGCTGCCAAGCCAACTAACTGCTTGACACAGTCCAGATGACTAAAACATAAGAGATAATCCCTTCTGGCACAATAGCGGTCAGGCTAAGGTACGTGTCTGGCGAAACGTGTGGTCGCGATAGGCTACTTACAATAATCAAGAGGAAGCAGTCCCTTAGCCGCTGCGTTGATATCTGCGGAGTTTTCTGTATCCACGAAGATGAGGTTTAAGCAGTCGGCGATTGAAGTGTTATTGCGCTCGAGGACAGAGTTTTTCATCATGTCAGATTCCTCTGAATGGTCATCCGAGATGTATTTAGGCCATCTTCGATTTACACCGTCTTTGCTAAATATTGCTGGAAAATGTTAAGTAGGTTATTTGAAGTCTTAATTTCTAAATACTATTACAGCTTTAACCAATATTTCATTGGGTGTGCTACTCATCATTTCACGCTCACTCGCAGTGAAATCAGGTATTTTATGTTGAGGTTTTTGCACAAACTCATGACTCGACGAGTCTCAGGCATTGTCTAGCAGCAGGTAATGATTTGATGGCGAGATAGCATTTCCGGTTTGATTTAAGTAAGAAAACTGAACTGCGATAAGTTTAAATACACAATATCTGTAAAGCTTACTGTCCCGAAATTACCATAAATCTGCTTACTGTCTAGAATTCGTTTTTCAAAATACGTTGCTGAGACGCAAACTTAACTTAATTGTATTGCAAGTCATAGCCCTGTTACTTTTATGCCCCTAAGCAAATAAGCACTCGTGCATAAATTCGTCGTTGAATTGCAACCCCTATCTTGTCAAATCAGGATCAGGACAGGATCAAGGCCCGAGTGACATGTCAAAAAACATAGCTTACATGAAAAGTTAGTGACCTTGACCCGAAGAGTCAAGTTGGATTAATCCAGGTAAAGCTGCCGGTTTGAGGGTCCATGATTGGGGTGTGCCAAACTGAAGTGATTAAGGGTGCTGATGATAACGACGAAATCTTAATTAGCCTGAATAAAGCTCTCGTTGTTTTCTGCAAACAAATGACATCTATTAAAGATCATTTATGCATGATTATCAATCGGAATGCCTGTTTCCTAAATTGCCAACGTAAGCAAGAGATTTTAAAGCAAAATATGTAATGGTCTGAAGGTTTTATATAATTTAGTTAACATGTGCACGAACCACCCGTCTTAATATTTAGTTTTTTTATAAAGTCATGAGTTTAACCAGAGAAACTAGACTGTGCACTGCATTGTGGTTAATCTTTGGTGGATCGAAATGTCATCACATCAAATTAAAATGCATAGACTTTGACTGATTTCGCCTCCTAGTCCCCTTCTTTTTATGGGAGTGTTTTTTGAACCTAAAGAACAAACCTTGATTTGATCAAATAGCAGCATTCTAATGAGCTGAAATATTAAATCTGAGAATCATTTTAACTTATTAAGTTTGTAATTGACTCAGATCACTGATCAGTGGTGCCAACTAAATGTTAGCCTTGTTTCTATACTTCAAATAGTTTCCCCGAGGCACCATACTGTGTCAGTTAGGAGCATTGCAATACTTCTCTCCAAAAACTGCGGCATTCCTGTTTGGTACTAAGATTTATGCATGTTATTAATGTACTAGTGCAGGAATCGCCGGCATCCCCTTAATGTTCTTTAGAAATGCAACAGGTTAACCTAAATGCATACAAATGTGCATAAAACATGCAGTCAAAATGAAATCCTTTTTCGCATAATTTAAACGTTTTGTCCAATTAAGACATTGTGCCATTTTTAAAAATTCCATTGAAAGTAAACTGATGGAGTCACGTTTTGTCGTTGTAATGCTTGACGTAAAAAAATCTCTTTCAGAAATCTGCATGCCGATGACATCGAATTTAATTTTTGCAGGTAATGGCTCAATTAAATCCGGTACAGCGAAAAATTCCGAACACATTTTATGGAAAATGTAATCCAAATGCGTTGTAGCTCAAAAAATGGCGTTTGCGTTTGTTCCCTTGTCATTGGCACTTATATTATAGAAATTCACAGACAGCAAACTGTATCAGCGGCGTTGTAGACTTGAAAGATTCTCATTTTAGGTTGATGACAAATGTTTACAAGCGGTTTATTGGATTAGCAAAAAAAACATGCTTCAAACCTCTTCAGACAATCCCATTTATTACCGAATTAATGCGACTTATTTAAATTTTAACTTAGCTGCAATTGTCATCCTGTTTGCTTTCACAAAAGGCAAGTGGAATATGCTTAAAAGCCCTGGTATAGTATTTAAAAATTTAAACAATCTTATGTACTTTCTTGCAGCGGTTAAATCCATCATGAAATTCTTGTAGAAGCTCAGATCATGTGTTTGTTTCAAACAAAAATTTTGTACAAAAGTATTCATTTTTGATTGTACTGGGTGATCCGGTTGAATAGATTTAGAAGTGCCCTAATTTTTGCCTGCTTACAGGAAACTCATCAACTACCTAATGCAAGACTACGGCTCTCAAAATTGTTTTTGACCGCTAACCATTGTGACCGTTTTTTGCTTATCTATATATGTGATAGTGAGTAATAACGTTCCACAGTCTGGCCATAACTTTTTTCCATTCGTTGAAAAGAGTTAGCTTCGATTTAGTGTAAATTACTGTGAGTAAACCTCAAATAATTTTTTATCTCCAAACTGTTTGGTAAAAAGTCTTTGGCCTAATAAAGAAAGCTATGGGCAGATAAACTAATTATTATTTTAAGTAACCCATCTACCTTACTATACACATGCATTCACATTTATTCAGAATTCGTTTTATTTGAAACCGTCTCTAAAATAGTTATTTTATTAAAGTCCTCGTTTAACTTTGGTAATCGGTTACTTCTTGACTGTTTTCTGCGGTAGGGAATATTTTGGTTTGTTTACTAAAAATTTAATTCATCTAGTTAAGGGGAAAGATGATTAAGAGTGATATTACGTACCCCAATAAATAGAGATTGTCCAAGCAAAAGATCACTCATTTAATATTGCGAATTCACATTCAGAGTATTTTAATGTAAGTAGTTTTATTTGCATCACACAAGTTCTTCATTTCGTACTTTTAAACATACTTTATAAATGCAACTCTGTGTCATCAACACATGCAGTAACTATATGTAAGTGCTTGCACACACCATTTACCTAATATGTGGTAGTTTCGATTATTTATGCAATACAATGGTTTCGTTGCATTTTGGTGTTTGTTTTAAATTTAAATCCGCTTTGGGACTTCCCATGAGACCTTATTTTTGGTTTCAAAGTATCATTTACTGGTCTAACTTGGCGTGGGGTTCTCTCCTGTGTTTAGTGTTAGGTTCGAATATAATAGACGACCATGTGTTTCGTTAACTAATTCTTAAATCATATTTGTGATTATATTTCAATTGAGAAGTCTCGACAAAAAAGTATAAAATTAAAGTAAATCCGCTAAAATTAGAAAGAAACTGAATTTGTAGAGGACACACCTGTTGTGATGAAACTGTCCTAACCCGTTTTTAAGTTCAACGTAATGACCATGTTGTGGTGTCATATCTTGCAGCCAACGTGACACGTCTACACAGAGGTAGTAAAATGTCACATCGGCTGTAAATATAAACCGTGCCTTATTTTTTACTGTATATATACTAAAATTATAACTGGAGACCTCTGTTTAATGGCATGGAAAGTGTTTAATAGATGGGGGATAATTTGCCGTCGCAACATATAAATCGTTTCATTTTAGTATTCAATTTTTAAACGTTTGCTAGACTAGAGTAGTAATACCAATATAGACCTAAACACAACAATTATGCCAATTATGCCTCATTTCAACAACAAAATTAGTCAAAATAATTCTTTCGAAATCAAAAAAATGAGTTAGTGTTAATTGTAATTACCTTTATTGCTATATAAATCTCAATGCTGCTGCACTTCTATTTTCCTTCTCCTTTTTGATTTGTTTCAGGAGTTGGACAATGCATCATCAGACACAAACTTTTGCAGATATTGACGGTGTTGATGCTCAAAACAAATTGTTTCCTTTTAAATCGGAAGACACTTTGCCACTATGGAGCCACGACCGGGCGCCTCAAGATGACGCTGTCCGATCTCATGTCCCTGACAATGGTCCAAGTCTTGAGGAGATTTCCGATGGAACGAGTGACGAACACATGGGTGTCCCTGTCTACCTGCCTTCCCTCAATACCTGGATCTTGCTGTCCACCTGCGGTACTGCATTCCTCATAATCACGTTCCTTATTGGATATGCTGTTTATAAATTTCACAGACGGAACGAAGGCTCCTATAATGTGGAGGAGGATCGGACAATTGTAAATCAACGTTCGGTTCCCGCAGTTCCGGCCCCACTCGTGTCCACTTCACTTGACTCTGGAACGGAGTTGACTTCTCTTCAGCGACACATACCTATTGATAGCCAGTCCCCAAATAAAGAGTGGTATGTATAGTGTTTTGCCAGCACTTAAGACTTTCAGTCCCATGAACACTTATATTCCATTTCCAGATCTCCAGTGTCCTGAAGATTCATTTTGTATATACAAAAAACCTATGTGATATAGTATGATGAGAATGAAAGTTTTCTGGCCAAATTGATTTTGTATTAATTGTACGCTCATTTGTTCTTTCTTTTCTTTGAATTTAAATTAATAATTTTACAGTGGAATGATCTCTACGTATTTCAGTGCAAAACATCAACTAACAAAAGTTACTTTGTGTCTGGCAGTATAATTACAAAACTCTAACATGCTCGATAATGTAAAGGGAGCAGCTGTGATACAAATAAAGACCTTTAATTCTGCAAAACAATTCATAGAAAACAGAAGATCTGGACATTAATTCTACTGAAATATGGTTTATAAAAAATTTAAACACCTTCATAAAAGCACAGGAACTCGCGGATGAATGATTTTACTGCGTGTACAAAAGCTATGACTGCGAATGTGAGGTCACTGATCAATAGAGAATCCTGAACAGAAGTGCTTTTGTTATTGCATAGTGACAAACAGGTTAATAATTCTAATGTATTCCCGTGTGTTGCCACGAAACTAGATGTCTGAACGTAGTACTCTTCATGAGTCTATTAAGCCATGACTCATAGCTTACGACCTAGGGGCACAATTATGCATTCAGCGATGACGTTTTGCTGACTTGATTCTAGCTTCCCACAACAATGCACACAGATCTAAGTAGGAACTTATCAGACAATTTCTTGAAATAATCGAACTTTGACAAAAAACAATTAAGACAAGTTTCTGAAATTCGCACAAGTTTTAAGTTTGATGTTCTTTCAACCCTATCCATAATCCATCATCTTGACAGAAAATTTATCTAGCAAATCGAACCAGGTATTACACATATCTTTAAGGAAATAAGAAGGTTTATTTAAGATTATGCTTTATATCTGTCATCTACTCTTCAAAACCTGCAATTTACTTGGTATTACTCACTTTTCTGTTTACAAAAAGCCCCTGATTCATATTTTTCAGTTTCAAAGGTATCGTTTACGTTTGTGTCAACCTCTATCTTAGAGCTACTGTAAAGGAAGTCCAAAAAAAGTTTACATGTATCTCACATGAAAACTGGTGAACTAACATGGAAAACTAATTTGCGACGTAAATTTGTTCGATTGCAGTAATGGCATTAGTGATTGCAAGACAATTCCCCAAGTTTTAGTTTATTCGTGTTTAAAATATCTAATTTAAACTGCACTTTCATCTTAACTAAACCAGACTCGTTTATCAAGGCGCTTAAAAGGACGTAAATGCACCACAATCTTTGCAATACAAACGGGAATACACAAAAAACTACAAATATAACACATAGATAGGACACTTTGTAAACAAAAATGCAATAATAGTCGTGAAAATCTGACCGCATATGTTGCACTCCGCATCGCACCAAGAGCAAGTGCGCAGAAGTGAATTTTGTCTGCCATTAGCACTCTTCTACACATCTGACTGTGCTTGCTGTAAATTATAAATTTATCTGCAAAAAAAATTACAGTCCTAACTAACCGCAGCTTTCACAATGCAACTCCATCAAGTTTCCTATTCTTTGTTTACTCGATAACAAAATAATAAATTGTGGTATGCAAGCTACTCCCTTTCCTTTTTTAAAGTTAGAGTGAAAAAATCAACAACAATGTTGTTGTTCTAGGCCGTTTTAATAAACAAATCTGCTTTGTTTAAACGTCTCACATATTTATCCTTTAACTTTAACTAACTAATTACCAAAAATAACACATTGTGAATTTCTTTAAAGCAAATAAGGTCTATTGTGATTCAGTGTGTCGGTACACGAAAACGACATTGTTCATGGGTTCTCTTTTGAGATGGGATGGAATTCTTTATTCCCAACTACAAGCGCGGCAATTCGTCGTTTGAAGACACAATCGTTTTAAGAGACATTGATTGTTAAATGGATATGCCATTTCAAGCTAATGAAATATTGTTTCCTTATTGCAATGCATTTTACCATTAACCTTTACTTAAATAAACATTATCACTAACAAGATTACCAATTGTAAGCTGTACTTTTATACGCGTATGGACAAATTCTTTTTAATAGCTCCCAAAATTTTGATAACGTTAGCCTCGCAAACTTAATTTAGTAATATTAATCGTAATGCTTGAAGCTATTGACAAGGGTGGATTGAACAAGAGTCCTAATCAAACCTCGTTTATTGAGCAACTGCAAATATTTTCTGTTCAAATGGTAGTTTTAAAACCATGTAGAACCCTACTCATACGAAGTTTGATCGACTGATTTAGTCCTCATTGCGAGTTCGATTTCAGGCGCTATTTACTACCCATTATTGATTCGGCTGCAATTATTTGATTAATAAACCTTGATTCCACCCGAATGCAATAAGCTTTGAAAGTTTCTGCTAACTGTATTATTGGGAATGGATCAATAGCCCTTAATTTAGTTGGTTAAAATTTCACTCGTTTACACAGGCGCGTAAAATTAGCCACAGTTACAAAGCAGCTAAGGCATTGACTTTTCATCATACATAACATATGTCGATATTTAAGTATTTGTTATATTACTTGGAAGAAAATACTTGCTTGGTCTGAATGACATCGGATTTATTTTTTCCTGCCTTTCTTCTGTCTACTTAAAATCACATTCCACAATCTCTCGTGAGCTGATTCAGCGTGAGCCACTTAAACGACGCCTAGCTAATCATCCTGATCTTGATAAACATTGCCGTCACTTGAATACTTTAGTAAAGCAGAAATTGAGTTGGTGTTCTTTGAAATTTAATTCTGATACGGCAACTTGACAGTCCAGTTATCTAGTTCGAAATTCAAATCTTACAACATCCCTTGTAAATGTAAGCCTAATTAGTAGTGAATTTATTGGGAACGATAGCTTATCGATCTAAACAAACTTTCTCTTTAGCTAAGGTAAATTCAAACAATTATTATTCTATCATTCTTTTTATTTAACTTGAAATTTTGTGTTCTTTATCCGCTTGAGAATTCGCTTGAGCCAAACTGTCAATCTATTTGCTTGGATTTTTGTACGATACCACTCCTTTTTCATTTACGGCCCGGATCGTTCCAGGTTTCTTTTGAAAGTCCAGCAGCATTCTTCTGGCTACAACCTAGTTTGTTGTGCGATCATCTTAAATGGCATGCACATGAAAAAAATATCAGGTGTAAGAAACATCAAAAGCAGTAGGTGCACCTTTTCTAAGTAGCAAAATGAAGCGCATGTTTAGTCAACTAAAGCAAATGCAGTGACCCTTTTCACAGTTCTTAAAATATGATTTTGTCGTATTAACGGATTCCTGTGGTGCTTCTTTCCGCTATTGTCGTTAAACACAACCGCCAACTTGAATTACATCTGAGGTTTGTTTGAATTGTAATAAATTGCAGAAATAAATTTGAGATATTAAAAACTGACTTTAATCCAAGAAATGAACATTTCTGGCCAAGTATTTCATTTACCGTTTAAGAAAAATTACAAAATTCTAGGCAATCTGTGTTAATTTTAATAAACAAACTAAATGAACAGGAATTTCAGGCAACACGCTTATAGTTTGCCAGAAATTTAAAGCTGTAACATTTATTTTATTTGCATGTGGCAAGCGTAACAATTAGAATAAATATTCGCATGTTTTTTTAAATAAACAAAAAGTCAGACAGATACTTAAATAACGGATTCGGATGTCTCTATTCTTTTCTTACTACATTAATACAAAAGACTGTAACGAACTTTAATTTAAAATAATGGCTTGGCAAACCAGAAACAATAAAATGTGTGATGAGAATATGTCTCCTTTCCATTATCTATATACCTCACTTTGCATAAATAATTATGATTAATCACTGAGATTTTTTGATTCTGATCTTGCAACCATCAAGCTTTTTTTAAGTTTTCCTGAGGTAGTGAGATGCCTACGTTGTTCTCGAAGACCTTGATTTGCCCAAAAGTAATGTTTAAGTGAGTGATGCGAATAAACTAATGGCTAGGAGGTCTCTATACGTATATTGCGATTTGTAATATGCTCTAGGTCATTAATTACTTTAATGTGCCATCTTGTAATACGCATTATTTGTACCGTCAGCATCGCTTTGTCTTCATATTTAGACCTAAACTGAAAACGTTTTCTGTAATCAATATCGACAAACAGTTGTTCATGTTAGATCTTTAGATTGCGTTAAAATGTCTTTTGTGCATTTTGCTGTCAATAAAACCCTCTTTTTGTCAGGGTCCTAATAGCTAGTTTTGGCAAAAAAATGAAAAGGGGCACATGAACTCAGTATAAGCAAAAGGAATCCAAGGTCATTTAGTCCCGCCTTCTGCTGATCCGCCAAGCAACTTCCAGGCTACAAATTTTGACATTAAAATGGATAAAACTTTTCACTTACTTCTAGACAGTGATTTCAAAACTTGTCATTTCTATAAAAGGAATTATGCAAAATATTACGAGGAAAGTCAATTTACATCACTCACCTAAACCTGTAGCTCATATGATCAGTGCTGCGTAGATTCTGAGGGCGAGGTCGTGCTCAGGGAACACAAATCCATTCATTAGGCTTACCCGAGCCCCAAATGATTTTAACGGTTATAAAGAATGGTTTGCTGCTGATCTCAGGTTATATATAAGTCTTAGTTTCAATATTTTGGGACTTGTCAATGTTAATAGAGCATTTATCAAGACGAAAAGTGAGTTATTTTAATGTTAGTGGAAATGTTCCCGTTCACAGTGCGTCTGGAGTCACGTTTGCGTACTTGTCCTTTTTCTAGTCTAACTCAATTGCTGTTAAATTCCTCCTAGAGACTTAATACAAACTTTCAGGATGGCAGAGCAGTAACCGTCTTTTGATGGCAAAATGTGATACTTTGGTTAACACATCGTTTTTAAAAGTTACAATCAAAATTATGATGGTGCTAAATAATGGCCATGAATCTTGAGACCTCATAGCTTAGTTTTGGA